AGGGTCAGCGGAGGGCAGGCGCGGGCGGGAGCGAGGGCGCAAGAGAACGGCGGTTTCGCTGCGCGCGCCCCCCCACCCTCCCCTTTTGCTCTCTTTCCGCTATGAAGTCGGGAGGAGGGCTGAGGCGGACCGCTTCGCTTGCGTGCGTGCGGGGTGATTAGCGGGCTGCTCTCACCTACTGAAAATGGGCGGGGTAGCTGCTGTAGCTGGAGCGCGGGAGGCAGGTGCTGGAGAGTCGTGGAGGCTGTGCGGCGAGGCGGGGGGCGGTGCGTCATTCAAAAGGTACGAGCGTGAATGACCTACAGAAATTGGACCACATGAACAAAAAAGCCGCAGGAACTGGACAGCGCTGCCTCGGTGGGTCTCTCTTTTCGAAGTGAAAGACATCTAACGAAGCACGCTTACTTGGAAATACAGTCAGGCGCTCACCCCCGAAGGCAGGATGTTACCCACACACAACCGGTGGACAGAAAAAGACATTCAGAGAGGATCTGGCCTTGGGTGGGAAACAAAAAAAGTAGCGTTAAAGCCCCGGGCCGTCTTCCTATGAGCATCGGAACTCCGACGACCTCGTCGCTGTGATCCAAACAGCTTATTGCTGATCCTACCGCGTATGGCTTAAAAGTCGTGGCAGTTCAAATTTGGAATTTTGGATGTAATACACCGGTATGATGGTGCATTTAAGTATTCCACAGTCCAGGGACCAACACTTACTTTATTGGAAAAGATTTTAAAATATAGTAGTAATGAGAAAGTCATATGGCTTCCTCATTCAGAATAACCCTATTCAGAATAGGGTTATCAGCCTTACTAACTGCCGTCTTCTTCATTGAACTAAGTTGGGCTAATTAAATATTTGTAAGGAAAGGGACTGTTCCATATGCAAGCATTAAAGTGCTGTTATCCAGTGCACAGCCAGCAGAAAAAGTGAATGTTGTGCCTTCAAGTCAGTTTTGACTCCTGGAGACTGCCTGAACTAGTCTCTGCAGTTCCCTTGGCAAGGTTTTTCAGAAGTGGTTTGCCATTGCCTGCTTCCCAGGGCTGAGAGAGGGCGACTGGCCCAAGGTCAACCAGCTGGCTTTGTGCTTAAGGCAGGACTAGAACTCAGGGTCTCCAGTTTCTAGTCTTAACCACTACATCAAACTGGCTCTTAGTAGAAAACTAGGCACCCTAAAGAAGCCTAGCCCCATGTCCATCCTCTTTTCTGCCTTAGCAAAGAAGTCAAATTGGGGCTCCATCTACATAAGAACTGGCTGAAGGAGAACAGGATGAGTGAAGAATCCCTATGGTGCCAGTCACAATCAGCAGGTTACCATAGATCTTCTGCCAGTTTTATCTCTTGGAATAGTCACTTGGTTGGATGGGAGGACTGGCACCAAAGGAGCTTTTTCTTGGCAGGCAAAATGGGGGAGCAAAGGAGTAGAAGCGTGTCTCCTCTCTATCATGGTGGGGCCATAGCATACAGCAGCAGGGGGGAGGAGAGAAGTTGTCATGGCTTGAAATAGGGGGGATGATGGCTTTTCCCCACTACCACCACTATGATACAGTTTCCACTGGGGCTTCAGCACTGCAGTGTCTAAGCTGCAGGAAGTAAGCAGCTGTACTATGGAGATGCCGCTGCTTGACTGGGGGGAATATAGCTGAAAGGCCATTTTCACTCCACATCACCTTGTCTATGGAAAGGGAAGCAAGGAAAGCATGACACTCCATGGAAGGGAGAGGGTCTTTTTGATGCCACAAGAACTGGGAGCAAAAAAAAAAAAACTACAACAGCTTGCTTTCACTCTTTCCCACGCCTCTTCCCTTCTTTTTTTCGTGCTTCTCCTGCTAATTGTTGGTTGACAAGAGAAGTAGGAGAGATGGCTTTTGAAACAACAGGGGATCCTTGACTTTTCCGCTGCCGAAAAGTGAATGAATCAGAAACCAGGGAACGTGCCCACGTGCCCACAGCAGCCTCAGCTAGCCAGTAGGAGCCAAGTAGGCCTCTGCTTCTAACCTTTCTCCAGTATGGTGCATTTCATAGATTGTGTGACTTGTGCAGGAAGAAACTGGAAAATACTTTAGAACTGGAACAGGAAAAAAAAGCTGCTTTCTTGGCTGGCTGGGTAATAGAAACAAGCCAGTGCCAAACCACTTTCATACCGTTGCCCAGAAAGTTATATAGTTATGTTCTTGAAGTCGGCAGGAATCAAGCTCTAATACTTTAGAGCTTGATTCGGGCGGGATACTTTAATTTTAGTAGGATTTATTTACAACTAAGCATTCAGATGTTACATTACCTTGTAGTTATGTGTTCTTTTATGTCTCATCCTTCTACCAATAAATAATGTCCAGGGCCACTGCACAAAAAATAACCACAAATGTAAATCAATATTTAATGTCTGAATACCACTTAACTAAAGAAGCTAAAAGGTGTTGTTCATAGTTCAGTTCAACAGCAGTTGTGTTGGAAGGAACTAGTTTCACCAGCAATACTTTAAGGATGACAAACTGAAGGAAGAAAATAGAAATCTGCAATTGAGAGAGACAGTCCTTTTAGAAATACTTCGCGTTATACAATTGCACTGAACATGATTCAGTTCTGCATTGTTCCACTGTTATCCATTCTTGAATAAGGCATTAAAGAGTGTGCTCACCAAAGCCCTAAGTGTTCATAAAATATTTACTGTGTAACGATTATACCTTTTTGAGATAGTACCTTTGATCCAGAGAATCTGGGCCACATTTAATGTTTCACCTTGACACCTGAAACTAAAGAAAAATTAGTTCCAGCTATTTCATGTTCAATAAAGAGATGCTAGGGCTGTCATTGAATTCTTAGGGTCATAACTTTGTTTTGCACCAATATTTTTGTACCTGACTTCTGTTGTCAGATTCTGCAGACTGGATGACTGCCCAGTACTGCTTTGTAAGAAAGGTATATTAAAAGCATCTTTTTGTAATTTCTTGCTAATCTTTGTTTTGATTTGGAGCTGAACAAAAAAGATAAATGAGATCCAACTCCAAACTGATAGGACATCCAAGTCTTTTTAGTGCTTATTATTTTTCCTAACACGTGGAAATATTAAAATAGGTTTTCCTTAACTGAAAGAATCTAGTTTCAAATAATCCCTAGACCTGGAGATTAGCTATAAAAAAGATAGATTTCTGTTTTTGTAACTCCACGTGATATTGAGTAAGCCATTTCATTTTCAATGTAATAATAAATATAAATGAATAATGTGGTATGATCCAGAAAATTGTTTTTGAGATACAAAGAAGCATGACCTATTTGCTTAACAGTCATGGTAATATTCTGTATATAGAGAGAAATAGCATAGTATCTGATAAGTTATTACTAACGAGGGTCTGGTCAGCCAGATTTGTGGACTTCACTTACAGAAATAAAATCCTATGATTACTCTCTAGAGGTAAATTACATCTGATTTTTTTTTTTAAAAAATGTCTTCTATTTGCAGATTAGAAATATGCTTTCAAAGTATTTTATTTTGTTTGTTCTAAAAATAACAATTAATACACACTGGTCTTAGGTTTGTTTCCTTGGAAGAAATTCCTTTAGTTCTAGGGAACTCAAAGATGCATTGGATAAAGTTCTTATCAATTTTTAAACTAAGAACTCATAATATTATCCTGTTTATAGCTAAAGTCTGTAACAAAACAGAAGAATATCTGTGTATTATAATCATTAACTGAAACAAAATAAAGAATCCTGAAAAGGGGGAAAAAAGGAACAAGAAGAACACTTGGCTTATATGCATGTTTAGTGATATGTATAACTTTGTTCCCAAGAAACTGATACATAAATATATGTAATGCAACACTTATTTCTAAGTTCACAGATACAGAGATGAACTTTTAATCAATAACCTAAAGGTCCTAAGACTAGTTAACGCAAAGGGGGTTCTGCAGGCAGGTCAAGATAGCAGCCCTAAATGCGTAATCAAAACCGTGTTCCTTTTTAATGGGGTTAAATGTACGATATTGATTGCATGGGTATGACTATCGTTTTGATTTTTTTTAATTCCTCCCCACCCCCCACCCCATGGATTCCCCTATTCACACATAACAACAGTCTGGTTTGAGATATGGTATGATCAAGCCAATTATAATTTGAAAAATATGGTTTCTAGTTTAATGTGTTGCATGCACTTAGTTATGGTCTATTCTGAAAACCGTACTTAAATACATGACCTAGATATAACTTAGCAAGATATATAAATGAAGGCTAATAGTCCGAATTACATGGTCCAAGGAATTTCTTAACATTTTCCACAAAGATATCTCATCACAATAAGAGATGGTCCTGGGTATATATATCAACTTTATATTGATGAAGACTATACAAGGCCATCCTTGACAGCTGTGCCATGGCAATATCCTGGATCACTGTTCTTTAAAGGTCAAGTTATCAGCTTAAACTGGACCTAGAAATTCATCAGCTGCAATGCCAATGTAACATCTTCAAAAGAAATACATTTTGTATTATGTATCTTTTCCAAACACTTTTCAGTGTTTTCTGCAGAACTATCACGGTGATCACATTGCAAAGTTGTCATCTGTGCTTAAGGGTTACTAGATTGCAGACTTCCTAAGTGATCTTGATGTATGTAGGCTGCATAATAATTCCTTGCATTTCTTTCCTGATTATTTAATTGGATTATCTCTTGGTAAACAACATTGACTTAAGTTCATCAACATTTGGCAGCAAAGGTAAAACCTGTTTAAAAAACGTTATAAAATGAATAAAATGTAAGTAGTCCTATAGTATTTTCACAGATTATAAAATCAAAGATGGATTATCTTTT